TACTGTACCGGACAATTACGTTTTTCTAAGTAGGTCCAATTTGTTAAAGTTGATGCCTTTCTAAAAATTACGGCGTGGAATGGAGAGACTCCTACTAGTCTTTGCAAGTCTGTCAAGTCTTTTTCCGTGAACCGCATTCGCGCTAGACTCTGGGTTTTAGAATTGAATTGATGGGTAAACTCTCCTCCTTATCGCTTCAGTAACTAGTCGTGCACGCGCAGATACAGTGCAGATTACAGCATTGCAAAGAGGATTTTGAGTCGATGTTTCGGCATGACCAACTTCAAACAGATTTACCTTGCAAGAACATAGTGATTTTAATCTGCCATCTTGTCTATGAGAACCATTATGTTGTTGTAGTGAAGGTCACTCAAGTACTTTACTCGCATATCTGACACGGTATGCATCTACAAATATTTCAGCCTGTGTCAGTTGTCAGAAGCTTATCGAAAATGCAGGAATTTCATTGTTTGCAGTTAACGTAGCGTTTTATTGCTTTGAACGAACTAAAATATTCTATCGGTTCCGAGTTTTCAACATTTTTACAGTTTTGCAGGTTTGATGTGACGGAGGCTCAAATGTCTGTAATTGCGGTTCTCCTTACTACCTGTCTATTTGGAAGCTCGTTCTGGGAAATAAACTTGGTGAGAAGCGGTTGAGCTTTCTTAAAGGTGATGTCGCTTTTGTAGGTAGCCGGATGGAAGTTACGGCATCTTGTAATTTTGTGTTCTTTGATTGGGACTATATATCAAGTCTGTGGATACGTTAAGGTTATCATCCACGGAGGCGTTGGAAAGAATGGATCTACTATAGCTGTACGAATATAGTTTGATTCTTGTATTCTTGAACATTCTAGTACGTTTCAGGGTACATCGGTAATATTCCCTCTGTTTCCTCTTCTCATGGTCGTTTTGCCATTTTGCATGATATATTCAAGAGCGGAAACTTCTGTTTATGACGACCACATCACGCTTTTCATGTTGTGCTTCGGTGCAGTTGGTTCGTCGCAATGATACACTGCGCTACATATTAAACGATTCTGCAACCATTCTTGCAGGAGCTAAGGCCACAAATAGACTTGTGATTGCTCATATGAGTAAAAGTGAGCTGCGATTATGGGACTGGATCTATGTGGGGCCATTGCTACTAATGTTGAATCAGTACTACAATACAATCTTTGATGAATTAATACTTTTACGAATTGTTACGGTAAGTATAGGTGATTTTCTGATACGAACTTGTAGAGTGATATTCACTGCACTGTTGCGATTTAGTTGGACGTAGTCAGTGGATTTTCTTAGAATTTTGTATTCATTAAATCACCTCGAGAGGCTGCGGTATCGTCGCTGCTTGTTTATGCCAGTCTTAAAACATGTTTTGAATGGAGATGATAGCTCGCTGTTCAGGTCTATTGCTACACCTCATTGTTGATCTATTGTACAGTGGTTTGTCGTCAATTTTGCGAATTCTTCAACATTTATTGCTTCACACTTGGAGCACGTGTACCTCCTACGAGAAAGACCACGTGACTATTGGTGAGTACAGGTCCTGACTACTTCATGCTAACAGGTGAAAGCAGCGTTTTTAGGACGAAGAAAATATTATCTGATAAAGAATGATGTTGTGTCCTCTATCTGGTTGCGTGGTATCCAGGCTAACCAAAGCTAGTGGTAGGCTATAAAATGAGATGCGGATGTTGTTATTTCTAGTTATTGTTAGTTTGCGGTCTGAAGAATCATGACCTCATTATCAATGCATTTGAGACTGACATTACGTATTGCGGTGTGTACGCTCACTGTGACGTTTTATGCTTGGTTGCTCTACGCCTCATTTTTT